AAGAAATATATATGTGAAATATAAAGTTGTCATATGACTATGACGAGTGGAGTTAATAGTCTCCTTTGGCCGAAATCCTAGGATATTATATTTTATACATCGAGGGAAATGGACTATCACTTGATATCAAATCGGGACGGTAACCCAACTTGTGTCATTGGAGATCCCATGAAGAATGTTCATATGGGTAATAACAAGTCTTCTATTTGTTCTGCTAGCCTATTTTAAATGTTCATTTCTAGGGTGAGGCTAGATTGCATTCTTTGAGAGGATGAGCTAAGACTCTTAATGATTTTCATAGCCTTATGGTTGGTGTGTCAAGTGCATGACACACTTGATGAGATCACCTATATGAGTGTGAGGTGGGACCGCCTTCATGAAGCATTGACAACGCTTGTAGAGTACTCAAGAAAACCAAGCACGCTCACGATCTAAAGGCGCACCACAACGTTAACATGAGGAATTGTGGGGGGTGAGACATGGCCAAAAGACCCAGTTCGTATATCATGCAACCGTCCCACGGTGCGCATGGTATACCTGGGAAAGTGCGTATATCTTGCCTTTGTTATTTTTTATTTCTCCTTTTCTTAAAAATGTTAATCATTTTTTTATTTTTGATCCGATTGTTATAAACTTTATATCAAATTATTTTATTTTTCATGATCTTTCAAATGAGACCAATATCGCCTATGTAATTTTAACATATTAACATTTGCGTGTAAAAATATGTAATTTTACGTGTTAAAATATGTAACTCACGTTCAGTCAGGCCAAATGCAACTCGTGTGTATAAATATGTAACTCTACGTGTAAAAATTTGTAACTTTAGGTAAAAAAATATGTAACTCGCGTTCAGACAGGTCAAATGCAACTCGTGTGTATAAATATGTAACTCGCGTGTATAAATATGTAACTTTACGTGTAAAAATATGTAACTTTATGTGTAAATATATGTAACTCGCGTTCAGGCAGGTCAAATGCAACTCGTGTGTATATATATGTAACTCGCGTGTAGAAATATGTAACTTTACGTGTAAAAATATGTAACTTCACATATAAAAATATGTAACTCCCATGTATAAATACCTAACACAATACGTAGTAAATTTTTTATATACACAATTTTAAGATAAATTGTGATTTACACAATTATTTTTCTGTATTAAATTTAGTTCAATTTTCCTTATAATCCAATACTCATTAATATAATAGTTTGATAATTTCTTAAAATTACATAAGCAATATTGGTCTCATTTGAAAGATCATGAAAAATAAAAAATGTTGATATAATTTTTATAAAAATCGGATCAAAAATAAAAAAGTTATTATCATTTTTTAACAACAAAAGCAATAAAAAATAAAGAAACCAGGCACAATACTCCGTCGTTTTGCAACGGGGCGCACCATCCTCATGGTGCGCCGGTTGCACCACAGCGTTAACATGAGGAATTGTGGGGGGTGAGACATGACCATTAAGACCCTGATTTACCATAGTAGCTTCCTGGTTCATAGAAACTATACGTTTCACCAAAAGCTCGGTTTATAAAGACTTAATCGTCTCGGTTTGGTTCATAGTCTACGGACACCAGACTTAAAGTCTCATTCCCGTTAATCCAGCAAATTTTCCAAAATAGTTTACATGAAGCATTGACAACGCCTCCATGAAGCATTGACAACGCTTCTAGAGCACTTAAGAAAACCAAGCACACGCACGGCCTAAAGGCGCACCACAACGTTAACATGAGGAATTGTGGGGGGTGAGACATGGCCATTAAAACCCTGACTTAGCATAGTAGCTTCCTGGTTCATAGAAACTATAAGTTTCACCAAAAGCTAGGTTTATAAAGACTTAATCGTCTCGGTTTGGTTCTTAGTCTATGGACACCAGACTTAAAGTCTCATTCCCGTTAATCCAGCAAATTTTCAAAAATAGTTTTTAACATCAAATGTTTATTTCAAATAAACAAAATTAATTTTAAATGGTTTTATATTTAGAAATAATTACATAATTATGACTAAAATGAAGTATGTTTACAAAAATATGATTAATGACTAGAGTAGTAATGAAATTATAGTAACTTGTATTCAATTTTAAACTTAAATTACTATGACACTACATTGTAGTAACTAATAGTCATATTTGTGTAAATAACATTTTATTTTAGTAATATTTTTGTAAAAATCCTATGCGGAGTATTAGTTACTGTGTACTATCTATTTAAATAAATGGCTTGCTAGTGCTTTGATATATAGATATCTTTTGCGAGAGATACACTAATCACCCACCTTACATAGCCATATTAATATCCATATTAATATTGTGAAGCTTTCATATACGTATACTACTTTATATATACTACGTATAAATTAAGAAATTGCTGGATTATAAAATGATAAATTCTATCCTCGTAGATTCTGTGTCCGGCAAACTCGTCGAAGGGCTCGTTATTATGGGGGAAGATTTCTGTCCACCGGAAATACTTTCTTGAGGACAGCGTCTGACGCGTCTTGAGTCACTATTTTTCTAACGTTATTTTGCAGGTTCCGACGACAAATTCTCCTACAATCTCAAGAAAGTATATCATCAGAAACTGCCGCGCCCTCCTAATTAATTGCCGGAGAAGTCAGTCGCTGGAGTGCCACATATTGCCACATATCCGTCAGCCAGAATAGGTTGCAAGTGAGATGAGGATGGACGCAAAGTCGTTGCATAGTTGTGCTGTTGCTTCTTGACTGTTCCGGTGGTTGCCGTCTGCTTCACTGATTCCTATCAACAAATAAGCTTAATTGAACATGTTTTTAATAAAGTTTGGTTTATCCACATCAAATTTGGGCTTAAAATTCAACCGGCCCGGCAAGACAGTCAACTAATTTTGTGAAGATAATTGTGTTTTATATGTATATTTTGGCGAAATTATCTTCAAAAACTTATTTGTATTTCTTCCAGTTTGAACTTCAAGTTGAAATTCAGTGTGGAGAAACTAGACTTGATGAGGAGCATGCTGAAGCCTGACACGATTCAATTATATAAATATATTTTAGACATGCAGAAAAACGGTCTAGAGCTCGACACGATTTTAGACTGTTGAAAGTTGAAACTATAATTGTAGAAACTACATATTTTATATATAAAATAATATATAAGGACAGGTTCCGGTGAAACTATAATTGCAGAAACTATACGCGATTCAATTATATAAATATATTTTAGACTTGCAAAAGAACAGGCTAGAGCCCGACACGCTAAAAGGGGCCTAAGCACATATCCATACCCGCCCGTAAGAGCGGACCGGCTAGTCCACCGACCAATTCAAGTTGCCCGGCCTGGATAACTTTCAATTTTTCAAAATTATATAAAAACCTGTTAATACTTTTAAAATAGTATTACAACATTTAAAAAATTGTTAATACATTTATATAATGTTTATAGGCCTAACACCACATACAAAAAAAATACTTACACAAAAATAATCATGAGAAACTATATAACTAAAACTTAAATTCAAGCACAAAGTATTATCTTTAAGTATAAAAATAGATATTATCTTGGTTGGGGTATTTGTTAAGAACTAAAAATTTAAATTTAAACATAATAGATAGTTAATAGAGTTAATAATGCTTAATTTGGATAATGATAATCTCGTTAACTTAATAGATGGTGATATTTGAAATTATTAATTATGTTTAATGTGAGTGTTCTATAATTAATAGTTTTGCATAATAAATGTTAATTAAAAGATATATAATTAATGTAGTAAATAAGTAATTAAGACTTTCATGACAAAATCTGAAAATGTCAATTTTATAATTGGGCTTAATAGCAATTTGCGTATAATTCAATATCATTTGAGAATACTCTACCTTATTAGAACTTGTTACTGAACTTAAAGAAAACTGCTTTAGAATTCAATATCATCCAAGTAAAAACATCCTAACTTGTTACTGAACTTAAAGTCAAGAAAACCTTCGAGAATGTAGAATTGTTATTTTTTATTTTTGTACTTTTGACTAGTTTTATTTGTTGTTGTTGGGGAAATTACACATTTTCCGTTAGAATTGTTATTGTTGATTGTAATTTGTTTAGATTAGGATTATTCTAAGCTTAAAACAGATTAAGATCATCAAAAGTACCAAGATTAGACCCTAAAAGATCAAGGAAAGTGCAAAGGGACAAGATAAGAAGAAGATTGAAAAAATAATGCATACACCTATTCATGTATAGGCAATACCCGATAAGGTATTTAGTTGATTCGGGTGTAAAAATCAGAATCTGGAGAGACAAAAAAATGTGCAGGATTTTGAAGATTTGGCTCATACCCGACAGGGTATGTCCAGAAAAGTGATTTTCCGGGAAACTGCCTAAAATACCCGATCGGGTACCCTATATGCTCAGTCGGGTACCAAGCCCTGCCACCTCCAAACACCTACAAATACACCCCTTTTCTTTCCCAATAAAACCACCAATTCTCATATACTTTTAAGCTGAGTTTAGACAAGTATTTCTTTATATTTTCTTGTATGTTTAGTCTCCAAATGAGGAGCTACACCCTTGCATCTTGGTTTCGCTACGTTGAAGCTTATGATTTGTAAGTTGTGAGTTATTTTCTTTAATCTTCTTCTTTGAATATTAATTACATTCTTATTTTATATCCATATTAATATTTGAGCATGACTTAAAAGATCAACTAGTTTTGTGTCATATACTATCGTATTAATTATTACTAGAATCGATCTACGAATACGTTTGTTAATCGTTCGATCCTTTCACGGTAGTAAACTTGAATTATTAATGCATGTGTTTCATGGTTAATAATCTAAGGAGAATTAATTATATTGATTAAACCAATAAACCGCTTGTGTTGAGTTTTATTGCTACTATAAGGTCAATATACGGTGTGTGTTCTATATTGACTTGATGTAAGTTTTATTAATGAACGTATCTCATTATTAATAACTACTCTCGATGAATTGGAGATACTCCACGATTGAGTATTCGAGAGGACGATAGTTAAAAATATAATCGGGATCGACGGATATTTCATTAAGTGGATATAAACAAAACCAAGTCTCAATCTCTATTTTATGAAACCACATAAGTCATTCATCTTAGTATTAAATTAATTAAATCAAATCAATCTAAAAAAACCCTTTGTTACAATTTTATTTAAAGAAGGGCATTCCTTTCCCTATGGATACGATCCTTACTTCACTATATTACATATAAGTGTTGCATTGAATATTATTTTGAGCCACACAATGACTTTAGTGCCGTCAACCTTCGCGCGCGATTCTTCTTATACGCTATACCCGGGAATAAACTTTTTTCATTCAAAAGGGCTAAACTTTTTTTTATTACAACACAACGATAGCGGGTTATCAACAACCAACCATAGTTGCATTGAATGTTATATACATGGACATCTATAGAAATCAAAAGTGTTTGACAGTAGTTTTTCTAAACAACACTTGGTAGTGGTTTTGTTAACTACAAAACATATTGTTTCTAACATTTATAAATTTACATGCATTCTTTATTTTTCTAATATAAAGAATTATTTGTATGTAGTTATTGCTCTCCAATGCAAGCAAATGAATAAACGGTATTAAATATTATTCAATTTTGTATGTTATTGAAACTTATGATATTTATTGAGCAATGAAATAACGCATCAAATATACATGCATGCTATCACACACACATATGTATATGTATGTATGTATGCATAAATATAATATAAATTGAATTTCATCGTGAAGATTATAAAACATTATTGTGCATTGCATAGCACATATAAAGACAAGGTCTTTCTTCTACCATGGCAATATCAGGTCACGAGCTCAGGTTGTACATAGTGCAATGTCTTTGATATATATATATATATATATATATATATATATATATATATATATATATATATATATATATATATATATATATATATATATATATATATATGTGTGTGTGTGTGTGTGTGTGTGTGTGTGTCAGTGTGTGTGCCTATTGAGGAGAGACTTCTTTATTGTACTTTGAGTTGGGTTGTTTCACTTCTTTGTTTTTCACATCTCGTTACTATTTTCTTCCTTTTCCTTTTTTTTTGTTTTTCATTTTTCCTCTCTTTTCTTTCCTTCATTGTAATCTTCTTGTTTCTTTCTTTAATAAAGTTTTGGTTTAATATATGTATGTGTGTGTGTGTGTTTATATTGGATCACATAAAAATATTTCTTCCCATGAGAAGTAGATATAAATCTGGTGCATCAAATCTAAGATCTAATGGCTCTAAATATGTCAAAAATGCTTTAAAATGGATTAAAAACGCGATGGCATTTTGGTAAATAAATCAAAGTTTTTCTTCTTTGCAAAAAGTGGACTTCCTGTGTGCAAAAGTAGATGACGAAAATCATCTATGTAGAATAGTGTGCTTTAGATTATCAAAAGTGGAGACGTTTTCATTTCTCATGAGAAGACCACTTTTTATTGGAACCGGACTATATATTTATATATATATATATATTAAAAACTAATTAATTATGACTATTGATTTACACAATGTGGCCTGGAAGGAGAAGATTAAGTTTTACAACATTATGTATATGTCATACTTTTAATAATAATTCGATTTGATAATTTAAGTTTACTTAAATGTATCATAATCACCTTAGCTTGGTCATAGAAAAAATATGAGCATAACACACAAGTGCATTCATATATACAATGAGGCATTTTGTATCATGAAATGTTGAACATTAATTAGTCTCACATATTTTCATTATTTTACCATGTATTTTGATGAAAAAGTGATTTGATCACTCATATTTAATGGATGAAAGATATGTGTGTATTCTTGTTTTTAGTGAGAAGTCTAGTTGTGCTACTGTGAGTATATGCATATTTTACACTAAGATGGTTTTAGGGGTGGCCTAATAGGTGCAAATCTACAATAGGATTATAATGTGTGAGCTAAAATCCACCGCATCCTAATTATTCTTAAATTTTTCAATGTAAATTTCATCTTTCTCCATATCCCACAATTGTGTCCAGCCTAGCATAAATGTATAATGACTTTTCAGTGTCTAAACAATTCAAGTTCAACTCAATTTTTTAGATGAACATTTTGAGAAATACTTAATAATATGCACATGTTGCGAACATTATTAAGCTAAGTTTCACTTTTGCCTCCCCCTTTTCATTCATATTATTCAAATGTACTCGGTATAATATTGTGCACTTTACCTCTATCTTAAAAAATTCAATTTTGACCGATGTACATTTTTTGACAAGTCACAATTGAACATAAATTATATGCATAATATATGAAGTTTTTTGTTACTTTAGGTAAATTTGATGTATCAGACTTGTTAAGTTCTTTTTGCAAAATTCTTGCATATTTATATATATATTAGTTTGACTAAAGAAAACACTAGCTGGTAGTGCAACCAAATTTAACATACAAAGTATATACTTCCTCCGTTCTTTTTTAGTTGCAACAGTCAATCTTGGCACATTTGCCAACGCACACATTTGACCGTAAGTATATCTTAATCTCTATTAATAAAAAATATTAAAAATCAGATTTTGAAAATTTGTAATGAGATGAATTGAAAAATACTTTTTTAAAAAAATAATTTCCATAAAATAATAGTGTAAAATGTAGTCATAGTAGATCATGTGAACAGTGCATAAAGTCAACATGTTGCAATTAAAAAAAACGGAGGATAGTATATGATTTGAGAATCATTATTAAGATAATAAGATAGATGGTCGCCTTGGAAGAAAAAAAAATTTGTTCCTCCACTGTGAAAGTTTTGTTCCTTAGCTTTTCCAGACAAGCGGAAATATACAATTTAGTTTGATAAAATACACACTCCAATTGATTTTAAATTTCAATTAGCTGATTAAAATATACTTCGCATTTCGCATTGTCTAAATGTAATGTCTAGATCAATGATGAATATGGTCGACTTTGGTTATAATTTAGTTAACATGCATGATATGCAGGGCAAGATGCGAGTTCTCACATATACAGATGTCTCTAATTCTACTAGTGAATATTTGTGCCATGCAATTTCTGACGTTGCATGGATTACCTTCAAACGAAAGCATGGCAGTGTCGTTTTGTTCGTGTTACTCAGATTGTTATTCAAATCCAATGGCTACGCGGGGATGCAGAAGCAGTGACCTCCCTGTTGATATAGAAGGATTTTGTGTACTGTACTGTGATTTTGTGTTTAATACTACATACACCAGTAATTCATCATGCAAGGATTATCTGCAAATAACTTCTCCCCGTTTTGAGAGTGTTACACAACATGGCGATTAGCTAGATCACTGCATCCCGGCCTAGTTATGATTGACGTGCATACAATTGTATTGTACTACAACATTACATTTTAGTACGTAGTGTTTCACTATACTACACTACTAATTATTGGGTTATAAGCTTTACATGTTAATCCAAAGTACGAACTTTTTTATATCTCTCCGGCCTCAAATCCTTTTGAATGCAAATTAATCTCATACTTTGCGGTTTATAATTGCAAATAAGATTATCACAATAATATGTCGACCTTTTCTCCTCTTGAATACTAATAGAATAAATAAATGTACTTCTTCATTTGAATTTTCTGAAATAGTAACAACAATTATGCATGCCCTACATTTAATTTTACATTTATTGTTTTAGTACTACAACATTTGTCCCTATTTTAACTCATTTATACTACACATCTTTCGATCTCAAATTTCTTATAGTGTAATCTTTTAGAGGTTTTTCTAAAATCACTGAAGTATAAAAATGTGACTAAAATTAGTAGAAGAACATATTGATGGTCACTTAAGTGTACACCTGAACATGATTGGTCACTAAAAATTACAAATATAGTCACTTTATAAAAGATGCCACACTGTGCATCCTCTTTATTTTAATCAAATATCTCATTATTTCTATGTTTTATCATTTTCAAATACCACTTTTGCAATGTAAGTTTCATCTTTCTCCCTATCCCACCACTGTGTCCAGCCAAGCATAAATGTATAATGACTTTTCAGTGTCTAAACAATTCAAGTTCAACTCAAATTTTTAGATGAACATTTTGAGAAATAATTAATAATATGTACATGTTGTGAACATTATTAAGCTAAGTTTCACTTTTGCCTCCCCCTTTCCATTCATATTATTCAAATGTACTCGGTATAATATTCTACACTTTACCTCTATCTTAAAAAATTCAATTTTAACCGATGTACATTTTTTTGACAAGTCACAAGTTAACATAAATTATATGCATAATATATGAAGTTTTTTGTTACATTAGGTAAATTTGATATATCAAACTTGTTAAGTTATTTTTACAAAATTCTTGCACACACACACACACATACATACATACATACATACATACATACATACATACATACATACATATATATATATATATATATATATATATAGAGAGAGAGAGAGAGAGAGAGATTTGGCTGCCTTCCCTGTGGAATTCCGGACCAGAGGCACCGTCCGGCCGACGGATTTTGGCTGCCTTCCCTGTGGAATTTTTGAATAAAATTTTTATGGCATGTTCTTCACCAAGTCTAGTTTATTCACAAAAAACTTCAGCTAAAAACTCAATCCGGAAGGTCCTCAAATGATTTTTGGAAGTTAACTGCACTAAAAAATATATATAAAACGCAGTTAACTTCAAAAAATCATTTGAGGACCTTCCGGATTGAGTTTTTAGCTGTTTTGTTTTGTGGATAAACTAGACTTGATGAAGAACATGCCATAAAAATTTCATCATAACATTACACCGAAAAGACGGCCAAAAGCCGTCGGCCGGACGGCGCCTTTGGTCCGAAATTCCGGACCAGAACATTTGTTATATATATATATATATATATATATATATATATATATATATATATATATATATATATATATATATATATATGTATGTATGTATGTACCTATGTATATATATACAAGAAAAAGTGAAAACTTTGCACGGGAAGACCACTTTTCATTTGAACTCTTCCCTATATATATATATATATATATATATATAGGGGAGAGTTCAAATACAAAGTGGTCTTTCCATGCAAAGTGAGAATTAATCTCGTGCGTTCATTTTGAGATCTAATGGTTCAAAATGAGCCAAAAGTGAACTAAATTTGATCAAAAACGCGGTGGCAATTTCGTAATTAAAACGAAATTTTTTGCCATCGCGAAAAAGTGCAACAGAAACACGCAAAAGTGCAACGCGGTGAATAAAAAGTGCAATTGTTCGTACTTTGTACGGGAGAACCTCTTTTTATTTGATCCGGAATATATATATATATATATATATATATATATATATATATATATATATATATATATATATATATATATATTCCGGATCAAATAAAAATCTTTCATCCGTTGAAAACTACAAACCTGTCACTTTTTACCCATTGTGATGCACTATTAGGTTTCTATATTGCACTTTTTCATAATGACATACAATTTTGAATTATTTACAAAAATGCCAACGTTTTTTTTATTTGCTAAAGGGTCAAATAGGTACATGAACTAACTTAAAGTGTTCAATTAGCCCTTTATATAGGAGGTTCTGCTCGGCCGTCGCCAATTGGGGCGGTTCCCGGTGGAATTTTTTGATGATACTTTTTAAGCATCTTCTTCATTAAGTCTAGTTTATTCATACCAAATTTCAGATAAATATTCAACCGGGAAGGCAGTCAAATGATTTTGTGAAGATAACTGCTCGATCCTTGTACGTCGTGGATATTACCTGGATGCTTGCATATAAGAGGTCAAAGAAGGACCCAATCTACTTCACTGATGCTGACTTACCACCTATGCCGCTGCCGCATAAGGACGCACTGGTAATAAAAGTGGAAATTAAAATAGTATTGTTCACCGAGTTCTCGTAGACAACGAAAGTTTGGTGAATGTATGTATTATGACAAGTTCCAGAGCCTTGGATTAAGTAAAGCTGATTTGAGCCCCGTTAAAAGACCGCTCTCGGGATATACCAGGGACTCGATCGATTCAGAGGGCAGTGTGGTACTTCCTGTGATGGTAGGCTCCGCGCCTTGCATAGCTAGGTTGAACATCGAGTTGATAGTCGTACATTTGACCTGAGCGCCCAAGATCATCATGGGGAGGCCCGCCTTAATGGACTTGAAGTGCATTATCTCCCAGGAACACCTATGCATTAAGTTTTGTACCCCGAACGTGGTGGGAGTAGCACGGGGAGATCAATGGATGGCACAGAGTTGTTACATGAAAGCGTGCAAGCAGCTCGGACAGAATGACCTTAGGGTCCACACTATCAATAGTAAGGCTATGAAGTACGAGGATGGTCAGCTCCGCAATGAACCTACCTTCGAAGTTGAAGAAGTTCAAATCGATCCCAAGCATCCAGACCAAAAAAACAAAGATCTGTGTGGGGCTCCCAGTCGAACTAAGAAAGACGATTATCCAAGTCCTCCATGTCAGCAAGTCTACCTACTCCCTTATAGTATAAATAGTAGCATTTATTTCATTGTAGAGGGAAATCTCTCACATCTCACTAGAATTCCGGCGACGGAGTTTTGAAGCCGGCATGTACATGGAAATTCTTCTCCGGATACATGCCATATGATTTCTTCTTACAACCACAATGAAGAAGAAATTTATTCGCACAACCACTACCTTTGGAATCGTGAAAGGGGATATCATTCTTATATCAAGCAGAATACGCGCGCAATTCCAAAACAGGTTCTGTAATCAACCTTTCTTGAGACCTCCAGCTCGTTATACTGGTGTCAAGCAAGTGTTCAGGACACACAGCAATCCAATACTGCACAAGACCAGACTCAATCAAGGACACAAGACTCTGAACGATTCAACGACGCCTACACACACACCCAGCCGAAGCAGGGGTACCGTCAACATGAAACTTACAGTCAAAGGACAGAGGACCCAAACGATGACATCTGGAGCAAGGTTAAATATAGGAGGCGGCGATACCCACACATGTCGAGGCCTCAACGGAAGCCACCGGACATCATCCGTCCACCTGGTATTCACAATCGCTTTTCTTAGTTAGATTTTGATGACGACCTTTCTTATTCACACAAAGCACAGTCGTTCAACTACGTAAAACCCCTCTACAGTCCTTTTAACCGAAGAGAAAGTAAAAACAACTGGATAAGGAACATGGGTGATCGATTTCAATCATTGAATGATTATCCGCTCAACCTATTCGACAATCAGATAATTAGAGGGATTAAAAACAACATCAATGAGCGATATTTAGAACAAGAATCCGGCCACTCAATCAAAACCGGACCTCACCTTTGGGACTGAAGTTACCTTGCTCATCAGCGTCAACCGGACAGGCCACCACAAAAACCGCCCTGAATCTGAATGAAGGCTTGTGTTTGGTCACACACTGGGGACGAAGACACCCCAAAGACCCACCTCAGAGAATCTGGACGCTCTACCAACCACCCAGCTCAGAGAAAGATTGGGGTAAAGGACACGTCAATCGCTACAGCAGTCTTCGATTCGACGACGAACTCCCCTCCTCATCCCTCGATTTTGTAATCAAATCGGATTATATGCCAAATCTCTATAATAATCAAGGAATTAGAGGAAAGTACAACAATCATGATGGGAGACGAATCACAAACGACCTACACTGAGGGCCGGAGAAGAGTCGATGCTTCGAGAAACATCCACCTGCAAAAGACAACGGCGGCTGTAATACTGAGCCAGAGATTTCAAGGCCGGTAACTTCGGTTACCGCCGTGCCAGAATATGAGGCTAACATGCCAACCACCGACAACCAGTCCATCGAGCAGAGCACATTGACCGGGAAAAACTCGTCGGTTCCTCCATTCGCGTCATCTCCAGGACCATCGGGCAACCCAACAACCGACAATCTGCTAGTCGATAACATTCGATTGACTGGCAAAGCCAAACTCACATGGGCAAATCTCTTCAAGGGCTCTACAGACAATATGGACAGGAGGGCTGGCCCTGAAATTGTCTCCAATAATCCCCCTTTTACGATAAGTCTTGGTACAGGTGACCAAACAAGTACATCAGGCTTACAAAAATTGGGCAGTAGCGATAGGTCCACGATGATTGTAAACGATGAAGCGGATTTGCTAATAGATGAAAGTGAAAAAACTTTGCCACTTTCCCTTTTAATCAATTATTTTGTGGTCTCTGTTATTTCTCTCTCATCTGCACAAATCTCAGCCACACAATTTTTACTTTATTATTCTCCGTGCCAGTCAACTTTGGCAAAGTTTTAAGGGACGGAGGTAGTATTCCTTCTTTGGAGAAAATGGGTTTGACTCAGTCAAAATTGGATCTACAACTTTTTAAATTTGCAGCTCGAGAGAGAGGGATTTGGTCCTCTTTCAATTTAAAAAAATCTTTCGTGCACAAAATTCATCTCAAAATCGATCTTGCCCCAGAAATCATCCGAGTAATCTCCCAGCTCGCAAATACGGCTCAGGAAAAGACCACAAAGAGATTTGGAGATCTTACGATTCCAGTGGAAATTAACAGAGCAGGCTATTATATAAAAATGGCAAAATACAAGGGGAACTTCATTCAGATGTCCATGGGACACCATAGCTCGAGTCTATCTTTATTCCTTAATATTTTTTCTAATTTTATAAGGCTCTCAAAGTCAGTGTAGAATGACTCAATTTCTCTTCAGGACGGGAAAGTACTAGAAACTGAGGACCTCACATCAATTTCAAAACTGATTTTTAATTATCAGATCAAGGCAAGAGATATCGAAGATACCCATGTCTACCCTTCTAGGAAACAACCCGAGCTATCATTGATCCAAGCTTACTCAGATGCATCTATCGATTTTGATTATTCAGACGACTCACGCTTTACAGATGACTTCTTGGGACATGCATGCAACAGAAAACGATCGTCGTCCTCCTATCTCATTCATCTCATTCCCGGAAGAAATTAGGAAATCCAAATTCAATACTGCGATCTGTCACAAAGCTAATTTCATAACGTCGGGAAATTGCTTGCCAACTGACAACTTAAACACGCAGCTCAAAATCTACAAGAAATCTCAAAAGAACAAAACACATCACACCATGAAAACTAGGTCGCAATCGAGAGATTTCCCATGGGATTAGCTCTTTTTTCTTTTAGATTTGCTTTTCCTTTATTTTAGTACTTTTATATCTTTTATTTCATGTACTTTTATTTTATTTTTTCCTTCACGCATTGTACTCCTTTTTATTTCAATAAAATTTCCTTTTTCAAAAAAAAAAGTAATCAACTCCTAGCATAGCATTGGACGAATGACCTCGGGGCTTTGTAGTGAAGTGTGTTGTACTCGGTTTCTTATTGATATTCAACAAGATACGGCATACTACCTACGACTATTTGACTCATCTCTTGCTTGTTTAATCACCTAACTCACCAAATCATCCACACGATGTCCAAGGGTACGTGTTTGACCTTTGGATTGACGGAATAAACCTCAACAGTACGTAATATCATATATGCGCACATACTTTGAAGCACCAATATAACCCGGCCATTGGCTTCACACATTATAAATTTCGGTAGCAAATCACTTTATGAAGAAAAGGAGAGAAGTGAATTAATTCGAAAAAGTGTAAAAAACTTTTAAAATTCAAAATCTAAATAAAGTTATGATTTATGAAATTTTTGAATATTCTACATTTCAAAATGTTTTTGCAATTAAATATATATTTTTTGCATTTTATTTTATATTTTGGTTTTTAGATTTTAACGTTTTTAGTAACTTTATCTATTCTGAATTTTTATTATTTTATATTGATATATTTGTATTTTTGAAGAAATTATGAGGTCTTACAAATTTATCGCTTTTCTCAAATAGTTTAGGGGTTAAGTGATTAGATTGAAAAATGGAATAGCCTATTTGACATGTTTACCCACTATATTTTTAGCTGTTTAGGGACAAAATTAAATGTATATTAAACAAAAGAGAAATACTACACAACATATACATTGAATGCATTTAATTCAAATTCATCTATCTTAATCTTCATTTAATTTTGTTAAGTTATAAAGTAACAATGTATCAAGCGTTTCTCATATAATTTGAATGGATATATATGTGTGTGTGCACGTTAGTTTGTGTGTTTGCAAGAATAGAGTAAGAACTGTCACCGGTCCACAGGGATATAAATAAAGCACATTGAAATTGCACGTTGAAGACAAGCCATTTCAGATATTGTAACATGCTAGGTTACCAACTTATAAGGTTGTAATTGTTGTTTTTGTCTATCTTAACGATAGTTGAAATTGATATTTTATGAATAATAAAGATAATTTTGTACTACTATTAAGATTCAGTGTTTCTATGCATATATAATGTCAACAACAAATAGGAAAAATAGTGAAAGACCTTGTATATTTTAGCATCTTTTGTCAATAAGTATATGTATAGCTGTGAGCTAGAAAGGCATCCAAACCGAGCAAAAGGCTCCGTTTGGAGACCAGCGGATTGCCCGAACTGCCAATTATTTTACAAAGAAAACACTACGTTTTTTAGCGGTTTGGCTGTCAACCGCCAAAAAACAAACGACACCTTTATAAGGTCCAACGTCACTTAGGCTTTCTGTTTGGTATACTCATTATATATAGTTACATTACACATTTAGGTTCATCCTATAATAAACATTTGAATATCTTACTGTTTTCAATGATGATGTTTTTATTAAGAATGAAAGTTGAATACAATACTTATATATTTATTTGAAGGTCATTTTTATCAAACATTTTGTTCTTTGCCTTTGAAAACAATGTGACTTTTTAATGAGGGTATACCTAACAATTTAATGTCGTATTATTTCATTGTTTTATTTATTTCTAAGCATAACTTAGAAATCAAATACGGAGTACTTTTTTTTGGCTTTTTAATAATGATTCAATTGTTGTAAAATTTGCAAACTCGATAGACATTCTTTTAATTAATATTTCTCTAATCGAAGATTATACTTGTTTGTTAGAACAGGCCAAAGAGTGAGATTTCGCATAAGAGTATTATGATGGTTATGGTGAAAATATTTATTTTGACATTAATATTGGTGCATGGAGTATCTTCAGAGGAATGTGACAAGTTTGTGAAATGTGATAAGTTGTGTATCCAGGTTAACATGGGAAGATTCGGAAATATGGATGATTGCTTTGAATTATTAGGTATGTACTCCTTTCGTCAGTTCTTGCCCTTATCTTTGTCCCATTTTATCCTTTTCTGTCCACCCCACTAAGTTTATTTCATACCTTATTTGGATATATATATATATATATATATATATATATATATATATATATAGAGAGAGAGAGAGAGAGAGAGAGAGAGAGAGAGAGTAGTGATCCTGTCAGGCCAGGCTGACAGTATGTGCCGCACGGCCGAAAGCTTTTGGGGCTCTTCCCAGTTGAATTTTTCGATGAAAATTTTTAAGAATGTTCTAAATCAAGTCTAGTTTATCCATACCAAATTTCAGTTAAAACTTCAATCTGGAAGACAGTCAAATAAATTGGTTAGGAACACTGCGCAGTCAATATATATAAACAGCGCAGTATTTTTTAAAAACACATTAGAATGCCTTCCCGATAGAACGTTTAGCTTAAATTTGGTACGGATAAACTAGACTTGATGAGGAAGATGCTAAAAAACTTTCATCGAAAAATTCCACCGGGAACACCCTCAAACAGGCTCGGCCGGACGGCTGCCCCCGTCAGGCCGGCCTGACATGAAGTCTCATATATATATATATATATATATATATATATATATATATATATATATATATATATATATATATATATATATATATATATATATATATATATATATATATATATATAGGGGATGGTTCAAATAAAAAGAGGTCTTAACGTGCAAAGTGCAAAGTTTGCACTTTTTCATGTTTCGCTTGCACTTTTTCTTGCTTTCTTTGCACTTTTTCGCGGTAGCTCAAAAAAATCGGTTTATTTGCAAAACTGTCACCGTCATTTTGGCCTAATTTCGCCAAAATCAAAATGGCCAAAAAGCGCAACGCAAACAACAAAAAGTGAAAAAGAAACATGAAAAAGTGAAAACTTTGCACTTTGCACGGGAAGACCACTTTTCATTTGAACTCTTCCCTATATATAGCCATATAGGGGATGGTTCAAATAAAAAGAGGTCTTAACGTGCAAAGTGCAAAGTTTGCATTTTTATTTGATCCGGAATATATATATATATATATATATATATATATATATATATATATATATATATATATATATATATATATATATATATATATATAATGCAAATGAGGCCTGTCCTCGGAACGGGGAGGGTATTTATAGCCCCCCCTCCTAACGGTAACCACACGTGGCATCACAGGCCAAACCCCCTCAAGCATTGAAATATTTGATTTGTGGACTTGGTCCAGCTGAGCACAACCGTGTTCTTGGATGCAAATCCGCAAAACAAATGTGGGATTTACTTGAGATTACGCATGAGGGTACCTCGCGTGTAAAAAGATCCAAAATTGACATATTTATGCGTAATTACGAATTATTCGTGATGAAGCCTAAAGAATCCATTAGGGATATGATTACACGTTTTACTAATATTATTAATGAGCTCTCAGCACTTGGAAAAGACATTACTGTAGAAGATCAGGTGAGAAAAGTTATGAGAAGCTTGCCATCCGAATGGAAGCCTAAACTACAACAATAGAAGAAGCTAAAGATCTCTCTACCATGACGCTAGAAGACTTGACCGGTTCACTCATGACATATGAGCTAGGCCTACAAGAAGAACAAGATGCAGAAAATGTGAGAAAAGAGCGAGGAATAGCTCTCAAGGCTCGAGAAGAAGAAGAAGAATCCGGAAGTGAATCGGAAGATGAAATGAGCATGTTCGCCAAGCAATTCGGAAAGATGTACCGAAAATTCAAAGGCAACCGAAATAAACAAGGTAAAAAGGGTTTCCAATCTTTTAATAACCAAGGTTGTTTCGTTTGTGGTTCCTTTGAGCACAGGGCAAAAGATTGTCCTCAAAAGAAAAATGATAGAGCCTACGACAAACACAAGACCAGTTCCCATCGGAGGTCCAGTGAAGATAAAGGGTTCAACAGAGACCTCAAAAAGGCAATGATGGCA